TCTGCAACGCGGTGGGTTCTTTCACTATAAATCGGACGTCTCTGTATCGAGCCTACACGCCTATACAAAACGCAGCGCAGAGACACAGAGAGCTTTCTTCTTCTTCTTCTTCTTCGTTTTCATTTGATTTTCTGTGATTTTGTTTGACATGTCTCTGCTTTCAGATCTCGTTAACCTCAACCTCTCAGACTCCACTGAGAAGGTGATTGCTGAGTACATATGGTACGTTGCTTTTTCTTCGCCTTCTTACTCCTCTGTGCTGCCTACTTCTGTACATATATATATATATATATATATATATATACACCTATAACTGTGCATATACGAATCTGTATGTGTGCGACTACGTGTCCGTGGAGATGGGTCTAATCTAAATATATGTTGTTTTGTTTTCTCATTTGGTGTGGTCGAGGTGATGATGATCCCTGTTTTTTTGGTTTCCTACGGCATTTTTTTTCTCCTGTTTGGTTCCTGAGAAAGTTAAGGAAAATGAACTAATTCAAAACAACTTCCAGTATTCATTTATCTGCTAACTCATACTTGAACTACTTGTTCACTCTGTTTTTTCATTTTACCAAACAATCATTATGCTCTGTTTTATTTACTCATTCATTATTTCTGTGTGTATATACACGCACATATCTATATATGTTTGTGTATATATTTTTTCAAGGAGAACATAATTTTTTACCGATTTGAAAAGCACCCTTTTGTTTTGATGAAACTGAGGAATCTCTTTTTTCTTCCATTTTGTTGGAGGGAGATGGAGGACTCTTCCTCCAAGAAATTTGCAGTTATATTAAACGACAGCGTTTCATTTATTTTCATTAATACGCTTGTCTACTTTTTAACTTTGTCAAATTTCTGTTGTCTTCTTCATCCTCTGCTTTTTTTACAGTCTTCCATGCGATCCATCAATGATCTCTTAGAGTCTCTATCATAAATACTAGTCTTCGTTTGGGTCAGCACGTTTTACCAAGCGTTAAAAAATTCTTGTTTTTCTCTGAAACTGGTAAAGAACTTTTACCCAATTTACTTTTGACTATGGTTAAAAATTTCCCAGGATTGGCGGATCTGGCATGGACATGAGGAGCAAAGCAAGGGTATTATTTACTTTTTATTTTTGTATTGAATTACAATAGAACCAAACGCGGCCTTAGTTTCTCTTTAGAAAACCTTGTTCTTGATTATGAACTATTCTAGACTGGGTTTGTGTAAACTGGGTTAATCTGAACTGGGGTTTTTGTTTGGCATGGAAAAGACTGTGTCTGGTCCAGTTAGTGATCCTTCAAAGCTTCCCAAGTGGAATTATGATGGTTCTAGCACAAAGCAAGCTCCTGGAGAAGACAGTGAAGTGATTCTCTAGTAAGTGCTTTTTACTAAAAGTGCTTTTTGAATGGCTTAACCTTTTGAATATTAATGGTGGACATTTTCTTTTGTGATTTTAGTCCTCAAGCTATTTTCAGAGACCCATTTAGGAGAGGCAACAACATCTTGGTGAGTTATGTAACACCATTGATTTTTCTTTTAATTATTAAATTTTTAATTACATGTTTCTTTTAGTCCTACCATGAACTTATAGGCTAAAAAAAATATAAATTAAACCGAATGAGACCGGTATAATAATTTATATTTTTCGACGTTGATGATTTAGGTCATATGTGATGCTTATACTCCGGCAGGGGAGCCAATTCCGACAAACAAGAGATGTGCTGCAGCGAAGATATTTATCCATCCCGATGTCTTCGCTGAGGAACCCTGGTAATGATCGAAAAAATAAAGTATAACAACACAATCGACCAATTTACATAGTTTAAATATTTACTTCAAATTTTAACATTAAATCTAAAATTACGTTTAAAATAAATAATTTTTAATTTTAAAATTACTATTTTAACCATTAAAAAACAAAAATTCTTAAAATTATCATATAATTGAGCTCAATTTGTTCCAGACAATGTCTAATACAATACTACATTTTGGCAGGTATGGTATCGAGCAAGAATACACCTTGTTGCAGAAGGATGTCAAATGGCCTCTTGGGTGGCCTCTTGGTGGTTACCCTGGACCTCAGGTAAATTTTCTTTTCCCTCCTACTCTCACTTTTAATAAATTACCGTATCGGTAAATTTTTATAACCTTGTTATGAGTTATTGGTCATCGGTGACGCGATAAGTACATAAATTACTATAAAATATTAAAAATTTACTACAAACACATTATATTCGAGAGTGATATAAATTTTTCTTGAACGCAATATAATCTGTTTGTCATATTATTATTTGTCTCTTAATAGGGACCCTATTACTGTGGAGTCGGCGTTGACAAAGCCTTTGGCCGAGACATTGTTGATGCTCACTACAAAGCCTGCTTATATGCTGGTGTCAACATAAGTGGCATCAACGGAGAAGTGATGCCCGGACAGGTGAAAAAATGTCGAGTTTCATCGAGTTTTTATCTTCGTTAATCTC